AAATGATGTTTTGCAGCTTCATGCATATAGTGTAAGAATTTTATGAGTGTATTTCCATATTCCCTCAGTCATCATGCTATTTTTCATAACACTTTACTTCTATATAAAACTATAAACTCCACAATAAATTTTTATGATTTCTGATCTAAAAGAAAAATGAGAAAATATATTTTATTTTATCCACATATTTACTATTTCTAGTGCTTTATCTTTCTTTATTTAGATCAAAATTTCTATCAGGTGTTATATGTTTTCTTGCTGAAGAACTTCCTTTAATATCTTTCACTGTGGTGATGAATTATCTCAGCTTTTGTCTTTATTGCCTTATATTCACTGTGTATAGAATTCTAGGTTTACAGGTTTTTTTTTTTTTTCTGAGACAGAATCTCATTCTGTCACCCAGGCTGGAGTGCAGTGGCACAATTTGGGCTTACTGTAACCTCTATCTGCCCAGTTCAAGCAATTCTCCAGCCTCAGCTTCCCAGGTAGCTGGAATTACAAGTGTGCACTATGATTATACATTTTCTTAAGTGAAATCTGCTGTCATGCTTGTCTTTGCTCCTTTGTGACTTACGTGTCTTTTTGTTTGTTTGTTTTCTCTGGCTTCTTTTAAAATTTCTTATCCTGCTTTTCAGTAGCATGTGTGCATGTGTGTGCACTCAATGATGTTTTTGTCTCCTTGTTCTATTCTTCTGAGAGTAGTGCACCATGATTGTTATGTGCATCAATGCTCTTTTAAAATCTACCAAGTTATTTACCTTTTTAAGATTGTATTATATGTTGTATTCATTCATGATTGTTATCATTTTAGTGGAATATCCATTTATCATCCTATATATTCTATATTGTCCCTTTTTACTTATAGTTTTTACCTTAAATTCTATTTACTTCTCAAGAATATTGCCACACCACTTTTCTCTTGGTTAGTATATATGAGGTATATATTTTGCCATTCCTTTATTTACAGCCTTTCATATAATTTTGCTTAAGTATGTCTCTCTCTTAAAAAATATATTTTTTTGAGATGGGTTCTCACTATGTTGCCTAGGCTGAAGTACAGTGGCTATTCATAGACACAATCACAGCACACTACAGTCTGAAACTCCTGGACTCAAGTGATCCTCCTGCTTTATCTTCCTGAGTAGCTGAGACTATAGGTGCATGCCACTGCACCAGGCTTAAGTGTGTCTCTTATATGTAGGATGTAACTGGATTAATTTTTAAGATTGAAATGTGGAAGTTTAATATGTTTACATTTATTGAAATTGCTGATGATTCAGAATTATCTCAGCTATATTATTTTGTGTTTTATCTGAAAAAAAAAATAGGGATGAAGTCTTGTTATGTTGCCCAGGCTGGTCTTGAACTCCTGGCCTCAAGTGATCCTCCTGTCTCAGACTCCAGAAGCAGAGGAATTACAGACATAAGCCACCATGCTCACCCCATGTTTTATATTTGTCATGCTTTTTCTTTACTTTTTCCCCCTTTTTATCTGTCCTTACGGCCCTGAAAAAATTTTCATAATTCCCCCCTTTTTTTCTTGTACTGCTTCAGAAGTTATACGTTCTATCCTGTTCTTTCAGCTTGATCTTAAATTTTAACTCACATGTTCAAATTTACAAAGCCTGCAGTAAGTAAATCTCTACTATTTTCCATAAAGATACAATGATCTTAGAATGCCTTAATTCTCATCTTTCTATCCATTTGACTTTAAATAATATTTTCATTCTACTTTGTTTCAAATCCCGTGAAATAATTCATTAGCACAGTTATTAATTTCTACTGCATATATTTATTTATATTTATCAATATGTTACCAACTTCTTTGCTTACCATTGCTTCTTACATTTTGATATATCCTTTTGGTTTCATTTTCCATCTCTCAGAATTCTTCAGTAATTCATTCATTGAAACTCTACAAGTTCTAACTCTTTTAGTCTCTATCTGCAAATATCTTTATTTCACCCTCATTCTTGCTTGATTGTTTAGGTAGACATAAAATTCCAGGTTAGGTATTATCTCAACACTTTGAATACATTATTTCACTGCCTAAAGCATTCATTGTTGTTGGGAAATTTTTCTGTCTATTTTTGTTTTCTTTGTAGATAAATCTGTCTTTTATCTTTGGTAGTTTTTAAGGATGTTTATCTTTGGTGCTCTGCAGGTTCACCACCATGGTCTGTATCATTTGTCACATATCATATGTCTGTCTAGATAGACAGTGTTTTTATTCTACTCAGAATTCACTGTGATCCTTTAATTTAATAATACACATGCGCGCACACACACACACACATATATGTAATTTTGAAAAAAATTCCCTCTTCAGATACTGTTTCTTCTTAATGATCGCTGTTCTGACCTCCCGAACCTTTATTAGGTGTAAGTTGGACTTTCCCATCCTATCCACTATGTCTCTCAACTTCTATTTTACCTTTCTAAACTCTTTCACGCTCTTGTGTGATTTCCTCAGTATCTCCAAATACAGTAAACTATTTTTTCATCCATGTTTAACTACTCTTCAGCTCATCCTCCACTGATAAATGTGTGTGGATACCTTTTTCACATATGTCAGTTCCTTCTTCATATTGATCTGTTTCTGACTTACCGATTTTTATTTATTCCTTTAACTTTTTAAACATGTTTATTTTAGAGCTGGGTGTGGTGGCTCACACCTGTATTCCCAGTGCTTTGGGAGGCTGAGGCTGGAGGATCAGTTGAGGCCAGGAGTTTGAGATCAACCTGGGAAACAGTGAGACCCTATCTCTATACAAAAATTTATAAAAACAAAAACCATATGTTTAAAAGCCTTTTTCTTATTGGGCTAGTGTTTCTAGTTCCTGGGGTATAAATTCTTCCATGTGTTACATCTGATCACATTGCCTTATGGTAGTAGCTCATTTCCTTTGGAAGTTTGTAATTTTTAACCTTGAATCCATTTTCTGCAGACATGGTTTTCCAAGGGAATCCCAAGCACCTTAGGTTACAAGAAACCTCCCTTTCAGGAAGTTTCACAATTGCCTTTATCTAGACCTTAGGGTCTTGATTTCACTGATTTTGGACCAGATAATAGTGTTTACTCCTTAGGTCAGCAGCCTCACCATTTTAGTCATGTGAACTGCAACTACACTTCCATGATGCACAGGTCTGGGATTCCACTTTCTCTCAGATGACTTTTTCTTACCCATTGCCCAGGAGACACAGGAAGCTCTTTGATACTTCTCCACACTGATGGTTACAATTTTTCTGGCCTTCCACAACCTTCCAACTTTACTTTAGTTCTACTACTCCAAAAGTAGGAGGCCTGCGGTCTGGAATCTCCTTCCCATGTGGTTATTATACCTCAGCCCATGAAAATTAAGGCTTCTAAGTAGTTCTGAAATGCCCATGAACACTTTTAATTTTGGCTCCTACTCACTATTAAATTTAAATTTCTTTTTTGCTTCTGGCACTTGGTGATTTTTCATTCTTGTTTTGAGCCTGATTATACACTTATAATGTTTTTCTTTTGTGAGTTTTCAATTGACCAGATTTACCAGAAGGCAATTCCCCCTTTTGCTACTGGTCTGTCAGGCTATTCCTGGATTTCTTTCTTTCTCTAGACTAAGACTCAATCAATTTTATCTTTCAATTTTAGTTAGCAAGTGAGCAATTCACTTACAGTTAAACAAAAGTTTTCTACAAAACAGCATGGAATAGGAAGGAAAAGATGAGATTAATTTTGAATAACCACTCCCTGTGGGATAAAATGTGAACGTAAAGCTCAGCACAGTGCCTGACACATAAATGCTCAATAAATGGCTTGTACTATAATTATACGATTGTGAGAAGAACCATATTATCTCCTGCAGGTAAAGCAGAGGGGATAATCTTAGCAGATGCTATTATAGAGATCTTTATGAAGTTTAATCACCAAGCTGACAAGGTGAAGAATATAACTTAATTGCTTTCTTGGATATTAAGCAGAGAATCACAAAACCCAGAAACAATTATGGTTTTCTCCTTCACTTTTATAATTTAGAGTCCAGGTAAGATCCATTGTCTGAGGAACTTTTTAAAATTTTATTTTAAATTATGCTTAGCTGGGAATAATAATCTTTTTCTCCAGAAGTCCCAAGATTACATTTTTTTACTGAAATCATCTAAAGCATTCACTGAAACATTTGGACAAAGTATTCAGACTTGTAGGGAATAATCTGTCTAGAATATGACATGAGAAATGAATAAAAATGTATTATTAGCTAACCCACATAAATCTAATAGGTGAGCACAGATGAATATTATATTTTTAAAAAGATTTAAAATGTTTAGAATGGACTTGTTTACAATGCCCCAATTTTATATCATGTAACAGTAAAAAAAAATCACATTTAAATACCGTAGAAAGTTTCATTGAGACATCAAATTTAACAAGGCATTATGCAATAAAATGACAGTATCACTTTTGTCTAGGTGGAGGATGAAAACAAAATAACGCCAAAAACAAATCAAGGAGACAAAGTGCATAAAAGTCTAGTCCAGAGAGACAATACCTGATAAGATCTGATTAAAACCAGACCACTGTAAAAACAATCCACCAGAAAAAAATTGTGTTATGAAATCACTTCGGAAATGAGGCCAAAGTTCAAACCAGTCAACCCAATAGCAAAGAAAAGAGATACAATTTACTTTTAAGAGATATCCATATTTGTTGTCAATTAAAAGTTAAACTTCCTACTTATTCTTCTATTAAAAATAGGACATTTGGAGAACAGATATACTATTACTAAAGAAACAAATTGATAAGTATAAGGTTGTTTATAATTACTTTCATTTTGGGGATGATACCCAATTGATCAGTACACTTTGACAGTGACCTAAGCTAATATTACTATATGCAAAGCATACATTCTAAGCATGTATTACTTGTGCTTAGTAATAAATAGTAATCTGTATACAATAATGTTTCATAAAGTTTTCATAAATAATAATAGTAATAATAATAATAAAGAGTAACATACCCTTGGAGATGGTTGGCATGCCTGGCTTAATTCCCTTTGCTTGTACAGAAGTTCCTGGTTGAGGTACAGCAACTCTATAAAGGATAAGAAGAGTATAGCCAATCATTATAAAAAGAGCCTCAAATGAAAAACATATTAATTGGTTCTATTCAGAATTTATTCTAATTCAATAAATTTAGAAAATATACAGGTTAAGTTTGTTGAATAATGCATTAAAATACACTAATAATTATGAAAAATATCCATATATAATATAACTCAAATACTGCAATAGATTTAAATTTTCTTTTAAGAATTATTCCATTAAAGGGAGCATTTAATGTTAGTAAATATTAATTGAAGATTAAAATATTTTTATTCTCTCTAATACAAATTTAAAATTTAGTAAATGCACGGCAAATGAAATAATCAAAGTGAAGAGATCAACCCACAAAATGGGAGAAAATATTTGCAAATTTCTTATCTGACAAGGGATTAATAACCAGAACATACAAGGAGCTCAAACAAAGCTGTAAAGAAAAAATATATAATAATTTGATTTAAAAAATGGGGAAAAGATTTGTATGAGAAATGACATTTCTCTAATAGATATTTCTCAAAAAAAGACATACGAATGGCAAATAGGCATATGAAAAGGTGCTCAACATCACTGATTATCAGAGAAATGCAAATCAAAACTATAATGAGATATCATCTCACCTCACTAAAAATGGCTTAAATCCAAAAGCCAGGCAATAACAAATGCTGACAAGAATGTGGAGAAAGGGAAAACTCTATATACTGTTGGTGGGAATGTAAATTAGTACATCCACTATGGAGAATAGTTTGGAGGTTTCTAAAAACATTAAAAATTGAGCTACCATATAATCCAGCAATCCCCCTGCTTGGTATATACCCAGAAGAAAGAAAATCAGTATATCAAAGAGATAGCTGCACTTCATGTTTGTTGCAGCAGCTTTTACAATAGCTATGATTTGGAAGCAACCTAAAAGTCCATCAACAGGTGAATGGATAAAGAAAATGATGAAGTTCTAACCCTCAGGACTTCCGAATATGACCTTATTTGGAAATAGGATAATAGCAGATGTAATTGGTAAAGATGAGGTCATACTGGATTAAGGTGGTCCCCTAATCCAGTATGACTGGTGTCCTTATCGAAACAGTAAAATTTGAACACAGACACTACACAGAGAGAACTCCATGTGAACATGAAGTCAGAGGTAATGCTTTTACAAGTCAAGGAATCCAAAGATTGCCAGCACAGTAAGAAGCTAGGAGAGAGGCATTGAACAGATTATCTCTCTGCAGCCTTGAGGGAACCAACGCTGTTGACACCTTGAACTCTATCGTCTAGAACTTTTAGGCAACAAATTTCTGTGTTTAAGCCACTCAGTTGTGGTATTTTGTTATGGGAGCCCTAACAAATTACTACAGCTTCTATGATAATTGCTTATTTTACAGGGTAGACAGAGATAAACCAAAAGAAAAAAATATATATTTTACATATACTTAATATAAATGACTTACGGATTAGTATGTGGGCCTTGAAGAATTCTTATTTTATTGCTCAGATTCAAATTTGTAGATGTAGTTTGGAAACACTGAGAACTCATTGGCTCATCATCGTGATGCCGTTTAGCATTTCTTTCTTGATTTTCTACTCTAACTGCTTGAGATGTCGAGGGTCTATTAGCATTCTAAAACCGATAATTTAGAGAAAACATTTTACACGAATTCACAAAAATTACTGACCTCATAAAAGACTATAATTTTAGTTTATTCATTTTTAATAATGAAGAGTTCTGTCAAAACTTTTAAAATCATAACAGTGCTTTTATAAAAATGATTGAATCTAACCCATCTGCTCTTAAATTATTTTTTAAAAGGAAGATAAAAGTCCTTCTTATACTACTATCTGAAAGCTGGATTAAACACATATTTCCATATAAATATTAATAATCCTAGACATAGTGTTTAAAAAGATAAACTAATGGGAGAAACTAACTTGTCCGGATTGTGCTTAGATTCCAGAACTGGCAACTTCTATAATACTAAATCATTTATTCTAGAAGAGTTGTAGAACTTAGGTAAGACTACTATGCCAGATGTAGAGAAAACTTCCCATGGAAGTTTTTCTGTAGTACTGGCCTGGACAAAAGGGAGGAAATTAACATAGTCATAGATACCACCTGGAAATTTAGAACACCCACGATAGCCTCAATTTACACAGAATGCAAAAACAGGATACCAAGTTTGAGAGCCTTGGGAAATGTCAGAGGTTATAATTGTTATTGGCCTAGTCTGCCCCCAAATAAATGATACAAAAAAACCCTAAAAAACAAACAAAAAAGTAAAAATATCAGGTTGGTGCAAAAGGAATTTCAGTTTTTGCCATTATTTTTATAGGCAAAACTACAATTCCTTTTGCACCAACCTAATGTTCTCTCTTAGAGAGTCTCTTAAGAGTCAATACACGTGAGTTCTGAATGAAAAGTAAAAGGTATCAATTGTAATCATGATCACAGTGTTTTTAGAGAAATACTGTTAATTCTCTGGCACCATACCCGAAGTGTATCTGATGCTGAGGCACTTTCAGTCCCACTGCTATGGGGGATATACTTTATAACAGTAATTATCCCCTGAATTGCAATGCGCTTTTGTTCCCTATACTGCAAGTCTTCAATCTCCTTCCTGACTTCACTCATAGCTGTCAAGAGCGACTGAACTGCAAAAGAGTAAATTGTAAGTTTTAAAGAACTTGGTAAGTTTGAAAGAACTGAAATGATAGAAGTAAGAATTCGATTGGCAATATAATTTCACAACACAAAATTATAAACTTATTACATTAACTTAACGAGACAGTGTGTTTATATATGGCATTCTCTTATACAATTTTGTGAAATAGGCAAAATACATTTATCAGTTAAATTTGAAGACAGGCTTCCAACTTTTCATTTGCAAAATAAATTTTGCATAGTGAATGCAATTTACATGTTATATTTCACACTGAAGTGTTACCTAGCCACTGCATAGAAAAACACATTTTAATTATTTCAACCACTATTACATATTGCTAGCATTATGACGTATAAGAGGATGCCGATATTTAGATGATGATAAGTTGGCATTTTAAAGTTTCTCTTTTTTTCCAAAACGGTGCAATTATCTCATAGCTTTTTAAAAAAGAACATGCTTGTGTTAAACTGTCATATGTTACTTCTACTAAATTTTATATTAATAGTAGGCTTCTCATCAGCACTTCAGTTCCAAATTCAGCATTTCATTTATTTTGGCATCACTTTTAATTTAAAGGTGGCAATCAATTTTGTTAAACACAATATATATCATTTCACAAGACTAGCATAATACAGTTGTCAGTATCTGAATATCAAATCACCCAGTGTCTCTTTTAGATATCTTTAGTCTTTCTGTGTATCATCATAGGAGTTGAGATCTACACCAAGGTCAGATGTGATCTCAGTGTCATTAAATTAAGATATTTATAGGTTGAACATCCCTTGTCTGAAATATATAGGTCTAGAAGATTTCAGATTTCTGATTTTTTTTTGATTTTGGAATATTTGTATTGTACTTATCAGTTTAGGTTCCCTAATGTAAAATTCCGAAATTGGAACTCCTCCAATGAGTAGTTCTTTGAGTGTCACTTTGAATAAAACACAAGATAAAAAAGTTTCAGATTTTGAAATATTTCAGATTTCGGATTTTTGGATTAGGAATACTTAACCTATATCTTCAATAACTCATCTTCTATGTTGTCAGTTTTCTTCCAGTCTGATAAAATCAAAATATTAATCTTTGGACTACCATGTGAAATACAGGGAAAACTATATAGAAAATATGTGACATGTAGTTTTAGATATGCATTAAGACAAAGCTATTATCAGTGAATGTTGCTAAACTTTAGTCCACTCCCATAAAAGAAAAGAGCAAAGATGACTAATTGAAATAGGATATGCCATACATATAAATTACGAATATATTTGGAAGGACTGACAATTACATTAGTACCTTTGGTAGAACTACTATACTTGGAAAATGTCTCTGGCACTGGAGGATAGGGGTAATATCCACCAATAACCATATTCCTCTGTTCCCCGGAATCAGACTTCGTTTTAATCCATTGAATAAAGTTTTTCACCTTGGCATCATACGTATACGGCTGGCCTCTATGACCTTTTTGCGGGAGGGGTAAATAATAAAAAAAATGAGAAATAAAAATGTCACTGTAACAATCTGCATGAATATTTTTGTGTAAAAACAGTTTAATATTAAAACACTCTTTTATCATAAAGAAAAAACAGTCAAATTCACTTATTCACTATGTAGCAGGTAATTATCCAAAGACAGTAAATAAATCCTAAGAAGGAAATCAGACACACAGTGTATTAAAGTTTAAGTGGACTAAACTGTAGCTACCTATAGGATGCTAAAAATCACAGGAAGAAGAAAAACTAACAATTTGAATTTTTCTAAATATCCAAATGGTTGACATCTCCTGAAATAACTGATTTTAAACTATGAATTAACCTGACATTATGGTATCATGTATGAATGAAACTTGCTATATTGAATATGGCTCAGCATTTAAATTTATGTTCTTAAAACATACTTAAAAGTTCCATATTCACATCTGGTAGTATTTATAAAATAAGATATGCATTGATGAAGATGTATGTTACACCTTTCCTAGGAAATTTTAACAAATTTCTTAATTACCAACATGGTAACAGTCTGGTAAACATCCCATTCCAAACTATTTCCTCACTCTCTCATTTGGAAATTTTTTTCTTTAATGTTTTGATCCTATTATTGGAGGGAATAGAAAGAAATAATATACTTGCAGACAAGTAATGAAACTTCTCTTGCTATATAAATAAAACATAATATCTTGGGGTTGAAATTCACCATTGATTTTTGTTTTCATTCAGAATTTTAAAATATTGTAAAAAGAATCCATATTTTGATACCAGGCCTAACCAGGTCTTCAGTCTATCAAGTAATTTATGACCATCTACATTCTATGCCAAGTAGGAATTAAAGTTGGCTGAAGGATATAAATACAATTTTCCACTGAGTCACAAAATCATAGCCTCAATTGTAAGTAATCCATAAGCAATGTATTTGATAGGCCAAAAATTATTTGCTAAAGCATTCTTATAGTAACAAAGGAAGTCAAAAGAAAGCTGTCTTGTAGTTGAATGTTATTACGTGAAAGTTAATATGTACTGAGGATTCTTGGGAAGAGAGAATATATTTTTAATAATATACACAAAGAAATTACTCACCAGTAATAAACACTCCACTCTCATTTGTAGTGGTGAGGTAAAGCAGTTTAGGTACTTGATTGTCATTTCTGACAACTTTCAGCTGTGTACACACAAAATTTGCCACTGGAAAATAAAAATACTTATGAAATTACTTTTGTATTTCAAATAGAACATAACAAGATCAGGATCTGACACAGCACTTCTCAAACTTTAATGAACAAAGACATCACGTGGCACCATTGTTAAAATGCAAATTCAGATTCAGTAGGTCTAGGGTGGGGCCTGAGATTCTGCATTTCTAATAATCTCCTAGGCAATTATTAGAGCTGCCAGTCCTGTGACCACACTAGGAGCAACGAGGACTTAACACTAGTCTGCTTTTTGTCAGAGTCCCCTTTTTCAGAAACTATAACAGTTGCACCTAACTAAAGTCATTTGCTTGTTGCACGGATAAAGAGTGCAAGTCATTTTAACTGGGTGTACGACTGAGTGTGAATAGTTAATTCCTACAGAGAAAAAAAAGCTTAGTTTCTCCATGATACTTTCACTGATTAACCCTAGCTACCACTAGACTCTGAATTACTCTAACTCCTTCCACCAGATAAAGCTATACATTGTTGATTTGTATTTGCTTATGCAAGCATTTTTTATCTTTTATGTATTTATCTTAATTAGATTTTAAGGCCAGTGACAGGGCTTATATAATCAATTTATTTTCTTTTCACCTTGCTAACTTCATAGGCTAAAAAGAATATCTAAAAATGAGAGTATAATGTCTTCAGATTTCAACTACTTTCAAAAGTTATCAATTGCTTTTATCTAACAGGATATTTAGTTATTACAGTTTCATTAATCCAACATTAAAAAATTTTTTAACTCATTATATGCCAAAACACTTATGGTTCTACAAACTAGGAAATGAAGAAATAAATGTAAATTCTTATAATCACACAAAGGTAAGTTCTTATTTGAGAATAAAAATTTCTCCAAAGCACAACTATAAATTCATTTGCTATGTCTCATATTTACTAAGTTCTTTATTCTGTAGCAATGAAAAGAAACAAAATCTGTTCAAATGGTAAGAATTATCTTAATTTATATTAAGAATGATCTTAATTTTTCCTTTATTTCAAAAACTACAAACATAAGAGTATTAATGGCTAAAGATGGTAATATAGGAATATTAAAGAAACCTCTAAAACATGTTAAGCCAGTAGATCTCATGTTACGTGTTCTTACAATAATAAAATAAATTTAGAAAAAAAATAAACTTCTAATTCTAAATTCATGGCCACTAAAAATCTGAGATTCACATCTCACACGTCCTAGCTATACGAAATCCAGGAAATTACTTATTCCCTCTGGATCTTTGCTTTCTGACTTGAAAATTTATAACAACATCAACTCTTTAAAAGGTAATTGAGAGTACAAAATGAGAAAATATCTATAAGCATCTGGTACACGGTAAACACACAATATTAGTCACCCTTAGTTCTTCATTTTTCTTATCAAAAAATAAAGTCTTACTACCAAATAATTTTGGTATTATTCCAGAAGACTCTTGGCCATACTCTTCTTTATAGCCCCAAAGCCCCCTTAATACTCAACATTAATTTAATGATTTTTTTCCTTTGCTCTTGGTCAAAAGATGAAAATAAATTGTGACCACTGTCAACTATTATAGTAGAATAAATCTCACCAAGGTCCATATATACCTTTCTTAGGGGGATACATTTCACATTATCACAAGAAATAGAATGTATATGCTTGGCAAAATTTCTGTGAGAAATCTTTATCCAAAATTCTTCTTAGCTTGTTGCTTAAAGTAGTTACAAACGAACAAAAAGGAACCTGGCAATAAAACCCACCTAAATTTAGGCAATGGGATTATCACCAGAAGTCATCACTGTCAATTACTTATGCCCTAAAGAAAGTTATATCAGAGTTTATAGTACACTTGTCTTGGAAATCTATGCCTTGGTTTGGCCACAACTCTCTTTCTGTTCCATTCCCCAAAAGTTGGGGTAAGGTTTGGTTCTATTCAGATATATTTTTAAAATTTAATCTCACAAACCTAGGGTGGAATCTAACAAAGCAGAGTCGTGTAATACTATTTTGTACAGAAAAAAGGGGCAGAAGAACAGCCCTATATATGCTGTCTAGGTCTCCTGGTGTTGTACAATGTCTATCTTATTGCTAGTTAAAAAAAAAAAAAAGATGTAGGATGGGTGCGGTGGCTTACGCCTGTAATCCCAGAACTTTGGGAGGCTGAGGTGGGCAGATCACCTGAGGTCAGGAGTTCAAGACCAGCCTGGCCAACATGGTGAAACCCTGTCTCTACTAAAAATACAAAAATTAGCCAGGCATGGTGATGTGTGCCTGTAGTCCCAGCTACTCAGGAAGCTGAGGTAGGAGAATCTCTTGAACCTGGGAAGTGGAGGTTGCAGTGAGTCATGATTGTGGCACTGCATTCTAGCCTGGGCGACAGAGTGAGACTCCACCTCAAAAAAAAAAAAAATTGGATGTAGTAAATATTGAAAGTTTCTTCAATGTTGGCCAAGCATTTAACACAGGTAACGATTAGTGTTTATTCATGTAATCATTTGGAAAATAATAAAATGTCATATCATATCTAAAATAGCTTTATATTCTAAATTTAAATAAGGAAATATTCACTGAAACTGTTGAAAAGTATTAAATATAATTTTTCCTTATCATAAAAGATCTGAAGACTAACATATGTAATATGTAATAGGACAAACCTGTAATATTTTCAAGTAAATAAAACTAATGAAAAAAATAATTTTATATCTGAATCCAGGGGGAGAAAGTCAATGCTGAAGTAAGCCAAAGTGAAATACTCACCAGCTGGTATAAATAACACCACCAACTTAATGTCAATTTAAAACTCAACTGGAATCATACTTACCACGTCATGTAATGACATAGTCCACCAATCATCGACCAATTAATGCCATATAAGTGTTTGATGTCTTTAACGGGATCTGCTTAATCAATTTCCAAATGGAAACAAATGGAATTGACTGCCTATGTTTTAGTCTTACTGAAACTTAAGCTTTTTTTATGCCTGAATTTCTTTCAGTGAGAATTGATAAAAGGACCTGTTTTCTGAAAAACTGGTTTCAATCCCAAGGTAATTCTGAATAGACAGCCAATGGTTGTTAATGTCTGTAATACTAAATATGATATTAATACAGAAAAGATTGAAACATGCTGTCAGACTGCTCGAATTTGCCAACTCAATGTCATGCCACTTCTGTAAGCCAGTTTCCTCTATTTTTTTGAAAAGTTAATTCTACTACTTCCAAACATAAAATAAAAATGTTAAAAATTGCATACTTGGGTAAATATTTTCAAAGATTTCTGGCTGCGATGTTGAAAACAGTTCCACTATAAATGGTTGCTCTGACGTCCCGTCAACAATGTGAATCCAGCGATATGACCAAAAATCTTCACGGTTTTCTATATGAATAGAATATTAAAATAAATGAAGGTAACTGTTCTATAACATATGAACACAAATTATTTACTGAAATACTTTTTATGATTGTCGTTGTTAAAAGCGTACCTTTCTTCTTTGACCGCTGGACCCTTCCGACAAAAACTAAAAGGCCAATAACATCACAGATACAATTTTCTGGCATATTATCCAGCTCTGACCTAAAAAGGTTAAATAATTAAATTGACATTTTATTTTTAAACAGGGAAAAAGCATTCTACAATTATCATTTTGAAAATGTATATCTACATAATTGCTATAGCCTCATTCTGGGTAGACTTTGAGCAGATTATAATGCATTGTTTTTCAGTAACCGAGAGTGAAGATTAGTATTTAAGACATTTTACAAGGAACTATTTTACCTTGTGGTAAATCGGTGATTTAACTTCGGCAGTCTCCATTCTGGTTTCACCTGCTTTTCTGGAACAATAATTATATTTGTTGGGGGATCTCGAAGATTCAGGCAGATTTCTGAAAAACAAATATACTACTTTAGAATGCTGTTTAATACACACCATAATATACATGTGCATATATTAAACAGCAAAATGGTAGACTGAACATTTTGAACCCACCGCTAAACTCAAGAACTAGACTATTATCAACGTTATTCTACTTCCATTATCATATCCACTTATCTCTGCACCACAGTTTAAACAGTTTAACCACACTTTGAGAACTTTGTGTTCTATTATGTCTTTAACTTAAAAAGGGTTTTATCACTTACACGTTTTTGCCCAAACAAAATCCTATTGGGCCTTATTTTCTAACTTTATACGAGTGAATTACATTCAATATTTTATGACTAATTTTTCACTCAACATAATATTAATAAAGTGCATCCATCTAGCTGCATGTAGCAGTTTTCTTGTCATTTCAACAGCTGAGTAATGTTCCAGTGTGTTAACATACTACAATTTATTAACTAAAATTTATACATTATTGTGTTAATGGACATCTAGATTATTTCCAGGTTTTTACTATTATACATAGGTTGTTAAAAATTGTTTTATATGTCTCTATGTGCACATAGGCAAGTGTTTTTCTAAGGTATTATAGGTAGGTGTAGAAACACTGGATTATATGATATGTAAATATTCAGCTCTATAGCATAATCCCTAATCATTTTAAGTAATGAACCTATTTGTGTTTCTACCAGCAATGTGTAAAAATTCCCATTGATACACATCCTCTCCAAACCTTGGTATTGTCAATTTTTTCTTTCTTTCTTTTAATTTTGTTTTTTAGAGACAGGGTCTCACTCTGTTGCCCAGGCTGGAGTGTAGTGGCACAATCATGGCTCACTGCAGCCTTGAACTCCTGGGCTTAAGCAACCCTCCTGCTTTAGCCTATTGAGTAGCTACAACCATCATGTCCAGCTATTTATTTTTAATTTTTGGTAGAGTAGGATGGTGCAGGGGTCTCCTTATGTTGCCCAGGCTGATCCTGAATTCCTGGCCTCAAGGTATCCTCTAGAATAAGCCTCCCAAAGCACTTGAGTCTCAGGGGCTCTGTAAGATCATGCACCTGGTCAAATTTAGTACTTTTGGTCAGTCTAGTGATATGACAATTTGTTGTGGTCCTATTTTATATTTCTCTCATTACTAATCATATTGAACAACACTTCATATACTTACGGCTCATACATAAATTCTCTTCTGGGAAACTCTTGGGTCTTTTGGCCATTGTTTTATTTAATTGTTTGTCTTCAAAAAATTTATTTGCAGCAAACTGACACAAGAACAGAAAATGAAATACTGCATGTTCTCACTCATAGGCGGGTGATGAACAATGAGAACACATGGACACAGGGAGGGGAGCACTACACACTGGGGTCTATTGGGGGGAATAGAGGAGGGACAGCGATGGGGGAGTTGGGGAGGGATAGCTTGGGGAGAAATGCCAGATTTGGGTGAAGGGGAGGAAGGCAGCAAATCACACTGCCATGTGTGTACCTATGTAACTATCTTGCATGTTTTGCACATATACCCCAAAACCTAAAATGCAATAAAAAAATTTATTTGCAAAAGTTGTTTATATGTGCGATATTAATTCTTCATTGATTATGTAGTGGTAAATACAGTCTTTACCCAGTTTATTTATTTCTACTTATTTAAGGCTTTCTTAATGTCTTCCAATAATGTCATATTCATCTCTGCATAGGTCTTACACATCTCTTATATTTATTTGTAGACATACTTATTGTTGACAATGGCAATGATGTTTTTAAATTATAATTTCTAACTATTATTGGAATATACAAAATCAGTTGACTTCTTTTGTAGCTTTGCCAATATCTTATTATTTTTAATTTTTAGTTTTAAAAATGTTGATTTTAGGTTCAGGGGTATATGTGCAGGTTTGTTATATACGTGAACTCATGCCATGAGGGTTTGTTGTACAGATTATTTTGTTACCCGGGTACCAAGCCTAGTACTTGATAGTTATTTATTTTTTATTCTCTCCCTTCTCTCACACTCCACTTTCGAGAAGGTCACAGTGTGTGCTCTTCCCCTCTTTGTGTTCTCATCATTTAGCTCCCACTTATAAGTGAGAACGTGGTATTTGGTTTTCTGTTCGTGCATTAGTGTGGTAAGGATAATAAATCCTATTATTTTTAAACTTTGTGTTATTTGGATTTTCTCTATAGAAAATTTAAGTTGTGAGTAATAAAGAATTTGGCATTTTTCTTTAAAATCTTTATACCTTTAACACATTTTATCTTCTCACATTGGCTAGGACAGCCAGTTCAGCATTAAATAGAAATAGTAATAATAGGAGGCATCCACTTTCCCCATTTGTAAAGGAATGTTTCTAACTTTTCCCCATTAAGAATTGTGTTTGCTGTTTGGTTTTGATTTTGTAAATACCCATTATTAGTTTTTGTTTGTTTTTTGAGACGGTATTGCTTTGTCACCCAGGCTGGAATGCCACAGTGTGCAATCATGGCTCATTGAAGCCTCAACCTCCTGGGCTCAAGCAATCCTCTCTCCTCAGCCTCCTGAGTAGCTAGAACTACAGGTGCATGCCACCACACCTGGCTAATTTTTAATTTTTATTTGTAGAGACAGGATCTCACTATATTGCACAGGCTGGTCTCAAACGCCTGGCCTCAAGTGATCTTCCCACCTTGGCCTCCCAAAGTGTTGGCATTACAGGCATGAGCCACCATGCTCAGCTCCCTACTTAGTTTAAGGAAGGTTCCTTCTCTTGTTATTTTCTTTTTAAAATTAATGAATGGTTGCAAAATTTTAAGAAAAGCTTTTTGTGTATCTATTAGGATGCTCATTATCTAATTTGTTAAAGTGGTGGATGCCACAGATTTTTATATGTAAGATCAATTTTGCATTTCTGAGAAAAAATGCAACCTCATCACAGTATGTGATTTTTTTTCACATGATGCAGTTTGCCAATATTCCATTCAGGATATCTCTATATAAGTTTATATGTTCGAGGCTGAAACTGACTTACAATTTTTCTCTTTCATATTATTCTTGTTTGGTTTTGATTATCAAGGTTATATCGGTAGCAAAAAATGAGTTTGAGAACATACTTTCTTAGACTATTCTCTGGAATAGTTTTAGAATGATGTATTCCCTAAATGTTTGGTAGAATTTCTCTATAATATAATGGGTGCCTGATACTTTCTTTGTGGGAAAATTTTAAACCTCTGACAATTCCTTTAATAGTTATAAAGTTATTTGGGTTTTTTGATTCTTGGTCCGTTATATTTTTCTAAGAACTTTCCGTGTAGCAAACAAGGATTAAACAAGGATAAAGACATTTGATTTTTCGTTCTGCCTATTACTAGTCTTGTGACAAAAAATATTCACTTTACCTTTATGAGTTTTAGTCTATTCATATACAAGCAAGCAAAGTTTGTGTTACATAATATTGCCTTGCACCATAGTTTGCGTATTCCAAAGTACTTTCATTGTCATAGTATCACTTAATTACATTCAAACTCCCTTACAACTCTAAAATTCTAGGGTTCCTAATTAAAGAACTAGCCCCTGCCCGCCAAAACCAAACATACTTGATGCTATCATCTCAATCAATATGCATTATGTAATACAATCTAAAAATCTCAAGATTTTAAAGGGTATATTATTTCCGTATGCCAGCTAAGTACTATTTTGTAAAATGTATACAGAAGAATATACAAAATGGCAATACACAAAGCTATACATATCCAACAAATAATATATCCTTTCTTTTGCAATAGAATTTCCATCTTTATAGGCTTCCATTTATTAAGTCTTTAAAAAAAATTGCATTGGCCAGGCATGGTGGCTCATGCCTGTAATCCCAGCACTTTGGGAGACCCAGGCAGGTGAATTACTTGAGGTCAGGAGTTCAAGACCAGCCCAGCCAATATGCAAAACCTGTCTCTACTAAAAATACAAAATTTATCCTGGTGTGGTGGTGGGCGCCTATAATCCCAGATAATTGGGAGGTTAGGCAAGAGAATCACTTGAACCTGGAAGGTGAAGTTTGCAATGAGCTGAGATCACATCACGTCACTCTACTCCAGCCTGGGTAACATAGTGAGACTCTGTCTCAAAAAGAAAAATTACATCTTTGTTCTTCTAACTTGGAACTGTGTGTGGAAATATGAAAAATAAACCAAAACAAATGATCCCAGTAGTTTTCCTTCAACATGAACACCTAAAAGGCAGTGATGGTACCACAAATCCTTATTCATTTACTGACCAACTCTCCTCCCACTACCGTTTCTCATTTATAATGCTCAGACCATTTAAACTACACTGGTATTTTTCCTAATCCTTGCTTAACACTTTATCCCATGCAACACATTTTCCTACTTCACTGTTCATTCTTTCTTCAACTACATTTTTATTCATTTCCTTTTCCTTTTTTTATATTATTACTTTGTTACATTATTACATTTTTAATATGGTTTACTGTCATTAGTCTTTCATTTTACTATAATTTGTTTATCTTACATAGGTGTCGCCCCAATAGACTAATTTTTAAGGGTAGAACTGTATGTTACTTACTTTTTTGCATCTCCTGTGCCTAACATGATTTATAGAACTGCCCTTTCTTCTCATTAAAAGATAATTAATCATGTTCTGGCCAGGCATGGTGGCTCATGCCTGTAATCCTAGCATTTTGAGAGGCCAAGGCAGGTAGATCACTTGAGGTGAGGAGATCAAGTCCAGCCTGGCCAACATGGTGAAACCCTGTCTCTCCTAAAAATATAAAAATTAGCTGGACGTGGTTGTGTGTGCCTGTAATCCCAGCTACCTGAGAGGCTGAGGCAGAAGAATCGCTGGAACCCAGGAGGTGGAGGTTGCAGTGAGCCGAGATTGCACCACCGCACTCCAAGTTTGGGTGATAGAGCAAGACTATGTCTCAATAAATAAATAAATAAATAAATAAATAAATAAATAAATAAATAAATAAGATAGTCACCTTTCTACTCTGTTTCTATAGGATCAGCTTTTTAGATTCCACTTATGAGTTAGATCTTATAGTATTTGTCTTTCCGTGCCTGGCTTATTTCAATTAGCATAACGTTCTCCAAGAATCTAAAAAAGTCAATCTCATAGAAACAGAAAGTAGAAAGGTGGTTACCAGAGGCGGGGTCGGCGGGGGGCAAGTGGGGAGTGATAGGGAAAAGCTAGATATTGATCAAAGGGTACAATTTCAGTCAGATTGGAGGGATAAGTCTTAGGGATCTATTGCCTTGGATGGTGACTACAGTTAATAATAATGTATTATATATTTCGAAATTACTAGTAGATTTTTAATGTTCTCACCACAGAAAAGTGGTAAGTTGGTAAGGTGATGGACATGTTGATTGAGTTTTTCTACGATGTATATACACAGATCAAAACGTTACACTAGACCCTATAAATATGTTTAATTATTATTTGCCAATTAAAAATGAAGAAAATGCTAGGATAAAAAACTCATTAGTTTCATATAGGTAATTTTTGATGATCATAAAGCCGTAGTTCCCAACCTTGACTATACCTTTGGGATCAGCTGAGGAGTTTTACGCCCATAGCAATGCCTTGGTCCCATTCTCAGAGTAGTTAAATCAGAATCTTTGAGGGTGGGGCACCAGTGGCTCCTTAAAGCTCCCCAAGATTTCAATATACAGCCAGAGCTGAAATCTACTGATACATGTAGGCTAGGCAAACTACAGGCTGCAGATGGCTGCCTGTTTTTGTCAATAAATGTTTATTGGAATATTGCCATAGCCATTCCTTTACATACATATGGTTGCCTTCAGTCTACAAGGCAGAGTTGAGTAGTTGAAACAGAGACCATATGGCCTGGAGAGCCAAAATATTTACTACTTGGTGCTTTACATAAATAGTCTATTGCTTCCTGAAAAATAGGGCAAAGTCCTGTTACTTATCAAAAATACGAGGGAGAAAATAGAGACTGCTGCTAATATTAATAAGAAGTAAAACTGTTTTAAATACCAAAATGTACATTTTAAATATATTCTCACCAAGGCTATCATTTAAAAAATAATTTCTGTATCTGCAATTACTTACTTAAAAGAATAAATTGTTTCTCATACCTCAGAGAGTTTCCATGATGAAAATCTGGTCCTATAATTCTATATAGCAGAGGTAGTGTGCTGTAAATCAGCATCCCCTCATCACCTTTTATTGTGTTTTCTTAGTAAGTCACAATATCTCTATCAGTTCAGTTCCTCACCTTTCTATAGCAACAACTAATGAGGTAGTAGACTATGTGTACCAGACTATCTAGGTAATAACTTCTTCATCTAGGGGGATCTGAACGATGTCTACAAAATGCTTAAGATTTTAATAAATAATCATATAATGTTTTTGCAAATAAACACATATTTAAGAAAACAATGAACAATTGCTACCTTTATCTGAATATTCTCTAAGTAATTAAGCTGAATGCATTAGCTGGGAAATTTAGAATACACAGAAATTCAGGTTCAGAATAAAGCTATTATAAACCAAAAACAGTATTTAAACTTAAGCGATGTAATCTATAATTCTTGAAAATGAAAATGAAAAAAATCATGTTCATATCTAAAAACAATTACTTAATATATTAATTTTAATGGTTCAAAAATATTTGAGATGTCAAGATATCAGTACTAATTAGGAAAAGCCCTTTCAAGATTGCAGAAATTGGCAAAATTTGAATACTGATTATAGGTTAGATACTAGTATTGTATCAATTTTAAATTTCCCAATTTTGGTAATTGTACTCAGATTATGTAATAGAATACTCCTGTTATTAGGAAATATACACTGAAATACTAGTGAAGTGTTTCGGCTTAAAGGGGTATGTATGATGGCTGCCACTTTCTCTTACTGGATCACAGGGAATATATATACATACATGTGTATGTATGTCTGTGTGTATGGGTGTGTGTGTGTGCGTGTGTATAGAAATGTATACATATGAAGAGAGAGATATAATGATAAAGCAAAGGTAAATGTTAGTAATTGTTGAGTATGGGTAAAGGGTATACGGGAGTTCTCTGTACCATTCTTTCAACGTTTACGTAAGTTTGAAATTATTTCAATACAAAAGTTAACAGAAGTTCTTTTGAGATAGCACCTAGTAGTAACTGCAAAATATATTCATTATTAACTTAGTATTATGTGACCAAAAGTAAAAGAAAACAAAATAAATACAACCTAAGTGGAGCTCATTCTTCAATCAACAATAAATAACTCAGATGATTTTTCTTAATAAATGAAATAATAAACAGGTATATTTATTAGGTTATGCGATTGCTAGAAAATTTTATAAACAAATAAATTTAAAGGTTTGTTAGGTTCTAACAGTTTCAGTAATTTTTATGGTCTTTTTCCTAATATGGTATATTGCAAATTTATACAAATAAAACAGCCATAAGACAACAAATTCATTGAATACTTAACCCATTGTAGAAATTAATTTGATCTGTGGATCCACGGGGACAGGCTGCATTCTGAATGGATAACTCTTTTTAACAGAATAATCTTGAAGCAGAAGAACTAAACCAACCCGCAAACTTTTAAACCACTCAGGACACAGGGCATTCCACATAATCACCGACACCGTGCCTGAACTGTCAGCAACCTCCAAAAAGGTCTAGAAAAAAAGAGTAAAAGCACATACATATCTGTCACTTTTATGTATACAGATGGTATATAGCATATTATCTGTGATCATTTAGAGTGATGGAAAATAACATTTAAATTTTCATTATTAATAATGATTCAGTTGTCAAATCTGCTAATACTGGTAATCTAAAGAAGAGATGGCCACCAGATCTATGGGAGTACTGAATGTACTACTAACTTACGGTGTGACTGAAACTCTGAGGGCACAGGCCAAATCTTATTTATATTTGATTCTTCCATAGCACTTAGTATGGCCTTACAGAGTGATCCCACAATACATTTGTCAAATCAATGAGACAAATCACATGTTAGAAGTTTTACGTGAAAATTTTGACATCATTCTTGGTTATCTGAACTGTTGGACGGCTTTGATATTTGTATTTGAGAACTTTAGATAAACATATAATTGAGTGGGCACAATGCTATCAATGCCCTGGTTACATTAATTTATTTATAGCAATACACGAGGCTGGTACATAAGACATGGAAATCATGTCTAAGACACTATTTGAGAAATTATGCTATCAGAAAGGGGAATGTTAGAACAAGCATGCATTATTGCTGACTCTGAGTATAGTTAAAATAGAGAAATCTGTTGAGGTAGAAAGTATTTGATGGAGTTTTTCTCGGTATTAAAATACAGTGACAGACAACTTCAGTTCTGCCTAAAAGGCAGTAATTAAAGTAGTTTCTAATTCTTAATTTCTTCTTAAATAATGATGTTATTTTCTCAGACCCTTTCTCTTAATGATGAATACACATTTTGGGTAATTCATTCCTTTATTCATTAAACATTTACTGCATCCCTACTCCAGACATTATGTTAGGCACTGGAATGAAGAGATGAATCAAACATTAGCCCTAATAATAATGGCTGAAATATATATAGGACTTATGTGCCTGGAACACAGGTAAATCCTTTACTTATATTAACTAATTCAATCCTCACATCAAGCCTGTAAGGTAAGTAAAATTAGTGTCCATATTTTACAGATGAGTAAACTGAGGCTTTAAAAGGATAATTTTCCCTATATCATAAAGCTAAGAAATGGTAAACAGAGCCAAAACCTGAATTCAGTTCATATGACTAGAGGAAGTGCACTCTTAAGCACTATAAAATACTTCTTCCCTACAGTCAGGGAGCTCACAGTAGGGTAAGGTTAGCAAATCTAATAACAGATATGTGTAACTGGGTTATACATGCTCTATAGTGGGGTCCTGAGTAGTATATAGTTGATTCTCCTTAGTGACTAGGCATATGGGTATACATGGAAAGATTTAAATCAGAGGTAAGCACTGAACTGAATCTTAAAGATGGCTTTGCCAATCTGATGAGAATTGAGAGGAAGAGCATTCTAGGCAGAAGAAGTAACATGAGTAGAGGTATGAAAAGTATGAAACAATTGGTTACCATTAGAAAATTCCAGGTAGGGCAGTTTGGTTATTATGAGGCATAGAAAGCTCAGGAAGAGATGAGACTAGAGAGGCAAGCAGGGACAAAATGATGAAGACACAAAGAGGCAGGAAGGCAACAAATAAGTGGAGTTTAAAAATCAGGGAGGAAAGTATTGCAACAGTGAGAAGGCAAAAAAATATCAAGGAATGACTGAATAATTTATGATATCATGTGCTAAAGCTTTATAACTGTAAACAGTTACGAATGAAGAATTTTTAGTGATAAGAGCAAATATTTAAGAAAATGTGGAATAATACAAAATTGTATTCAGAATATAGTTCTCATTTTTAAAGAAAATTTAATGTGATATATGACATACATAGTTACACGAAGTATATACCTATTCATATGCACATATATGTTATATTTATGATATAAATATAATAGATATGTATATGTAAATATAGTTTATGCTTATATATGTGTATCTATGTGATTTACACACACACAAGAAAGGGAATAAAACACATCATGTTAACAGCGGCTCTCTCTGAGTGGTAAGATCTTCAAATAGCTTTCTACATTTTCCAAATTCCCTATAATAAGCCTGTATACTTTTATAATAAAAGTTTAATGAAATATGTAAAATAGTTCTTGATATCATGGGAAAATACAATATAATATTAAGTAAGAAAAAAACAGAACACAAATATATCAAGAAAGTAGAGCTCATGAGTATTATACAGCACAGAGTCAAGAAAATAGAAAAGTATCACACAGATTTGACAGTGAGTTACTAGTGAATGATAAGCTAAGGAAAAAAGCCAAACTAATTGTGTTGAGCAATGGGAGGTAAGAAAGTAAAAACATCTAGTGTAGACTACTTCTTGAAGAAGCTTACCTGAAGAGAAAGAGATAGGGAATAAAAGAGTCATAAGGCCAAGGGAGACTATTTTATTTTCTTTTTCAAATGGGAGGCTAGAGTATGTTTATATGGTGGTGCAGAAAGCATAGCTGAGAAGAAAAAGTTGAAGGAAAATAAAAAGGTGGGAAGGAGACCACCTAGATCAGGGAAATAAAGGGTACCAATACAGAAATAATTTCTTATGTACAATAAATTATGCACAAAAATACAACATATATTTATGTACATTTTAAAATTACATTGAAGTGACTTATGCTATTTAAATGAACAGGATATCATACTATTAAGTGTGTAAGTTATAATTTATAACTTTAAGTTAACATATGATATCTTATCATTACTTGTACCTGATATGGTTCAATCATCTTTTTATCAGGTTTCCCATAGTATCGCAGTTTTGATTTATGTATGATCCTCACAAGCAATGCAGGAAAATTTCTTCTGTTAGCCCAGGTCATTTCAAGGTGAGAAAGGGAAATTATTTTGGTATCTAGAATGTAAAAAAGAGAAAAGAAATCCTGTTTAACTTGTAATGGTAACTTCAAAGATCTATTTTAACGGTTAAAAATAGTAGCCCAATCATACCTAAAGCGACTCCTTCTTGCCAGCTAAACCCTGCCAGCTAAATCTATATACGTCTCTCACGTAAACTACATTTGATCACTCATATTAACAGCTGAAATATATATAAGGCTTACCATGTGCCTGGAACATAGGTAAACCTATATTAACTAACACACTGTTCCATCCAGAATGCCTTCATCTTACCAAATCATTTAATAACTTCCTGGAAAACCTGAATCTAAACTCACCTCCCATAAGATATTTTGTGAAAGAAAAGACCTCAATGTCATGGAATGTTCTTCCCATTACTAAGAACTTATATATTTAATTTATAGAATTAAGCCAAGCACGATGGCTAATGCCTATAATTTCAGCACTTTGGGAGGCCTAGACCGGTGGCTTGCTTGAGCTCAGAAGTTCGAGACCTGCCTGGGCAACATGATGAACCCCCCTGTTTCTCCAAAAAGACAAAAGTAGCAGGGCGTGGTGGCATATGCCTATAGCTCCAGCTACTCTAGAGGCTGAAGTGGGATGATCACCGGAGTCCAGGCAGCTGAGCTCACTGCAGCAAGGCTGAAGTGAACTGTGCTAATACCACTTCAGCCAGGCTGCAATGAGCCATGATCATACCACCGCATTTCAACCTGAGCGACTGAGAGAGAGCCTGTATCTATATATATTTGTTTTATTATACTTTTTTGTATTGCCTTCACCTCAGTTTCATAGGTATAAATTCCATCTCCCCAAAATATACCAGACATGAGCCTGTATCAGGACCTTTACACTTATTGTCTTCCCTTTAGATATGCAAGTGACTTTCTCTCTCCTCTCCAAATTTTGCTCAAAGGTCACCTTCTCAGTGATATTATCCCTAACTATCCTATTAAAAACTGACCCCTTTACTTATCCTCCATAGCACTTTACTTTTCTACATAGCACTAACTATCTTCTCAAATGCCATATGATTTACTTAGAAACATTTTAATCTGCAAGCTTGCTGGCAAGTTAAAAACCTGCTTAAAAGCTATTCATCAATTTAAAGAATTAATTTGTAATCCTGATGTAGTCTTCCTTGGATTAAGAGAAGTTCCATCTGCAACTGTCTCTACATTTTTCTTTTTCACAGCTCACAGTCTTAACTATTAAAACTTGAATTTGCATTAATACCAATGTTTATTTTGCTAAGGCTCCCCTCAGTTCTATATTTTTTAACATAATGCTTTACCTAGTCAACACTTTTGACACGAAAATCACACTTGTAATTTCTTTTTAATAAGGATTTAAGTGGTATTATATAATTATGCCTATACCACAAAAAACACACACAGTTTTTCTCTGTAACTTTCCTTCCAGATTCTCCCAATAAATTACTAGCCCAGAATCACAGTTCCTAACATTTGATCTGATATAATTAAGTGATTTCATTTTAATGTCAGATGAATCTCAGATGAGCTTTGAATTGTCTTGATCGAGGAATACTCTTGATCAATGAAGGCACGTACAGCTCCTTTATTGTCTGAAATAAATTCAAGAGCTACGTAGTTTCTAAAACTAGAGTTCTAAGAGCCTCTGTTTCTGTTATAATAAAATAAGGTGCAGAGAGTTAGGTGTAATCAGATGTCTTTCTGGTTAACATTTTTCCCAGTTTGGGTTTTTAACTCACAAACTTAATAGAATACATATTTTATCTCTCAAATCCCAAAAAGAATTAGAGGCTGTGTATAGACAAGGAAGAATTTCTGTAAATTCTTAGAAATAAATGTGTTCATTATCAAAAAAGAAATAATGAAAATAAATAAACTGGATATTCAATATGCAATAGAACAGTGATTCTCAAAACATTTTGGTCTCAGGATCCCTATACATTCTTAAAAATTATTGAAGATCTTAAATAGCTTTTTTTTCCTTTTGTTGAGATGGAGTCTCAATCTGTTGCTCAGGTTGGAGTGCAGTGGTGTGATCTTGACTCACTGCAACCTCCACCTCCTGGGTTCAAGCAATTCAGTCTCCCAAGTAGCTGGGACTACAGGCGTGCACCACTATGCCCAGCTAATTTTTGTCTTTTTAGTAGAGATGGGGTTTCACCATGTTGGCCAGGATGGTCTCTCCAACTCCTGACCTCAAGTGATCTGCCTGCCGTAGCCTCCCAAAGTGTTGAGATTACAGGTGTGAGCCACTGCTCCCAGCCTGAAGAGCATTTTCCTGCACTATAAATCAAACTAAGAATTTTTTAAAAATTATCAGTTCATTAAAAATAACAATAATAAACTAATATGTATAATTACAAATAACATATTTTTTTGAAAAAATATATTTTCCAAAACCAAAAAGTAATGTAGTGAGAAGTGTGGTATTGTTTTACATTTCTGCAAACCTTGTTAGTACCTAGCTTAATAAATGACAGGTGGATACTCATATCTTCTTTGATATTCAGTTGGCTTCGGTGACACACGTCATTTAGCCTCTGGAAAACAGTATACTTGTGAGAGAGTAAGAGTGAAAAAAGGTGAGTAAAGCTTTAGTATTGTGAAAATAGCTTTGACCTCATGAATCCCTTGAAAATGTCTTGGGGCACCACTAGAGGTCCCTGGACCATACTGTAAAAATCATAGCAGAATAATATATATATATATATATATATATATATATATATATATATATTTTTTTTTTTTTTTTTAGACGGAGTTTCGCTGTTGTTACCCAGGCTGGAGTGCAATGGCACGATCTAGGCTCACCACAACCTCCGCCTTCTGGGTTCAAGCAATTCTCCTGCCTCAGCCTCCCGAGTAGCTGGGACTACAGGCGCGCACCACCATGCCCAGCTAATTTTTGTATTTTTAGTAGAGACAGTTTCACCTTGTTGACCAGGATGGTCTCGATCTCTTGACCTCATGATCCATCCGCCTCGGCCTCCCAAAGTGCTGGGATTATAGGCGTGAGCCACCGCGCCCGGCCAGCAGAAGAATAAATTTAAGGAATGAAGAAGGAATGAATATTAAAGCTAAAAATAATGAATCAGAAAACACTCTACCACAATTAAAAAACCCCAACAGTATTGATAAATTCAATTCTCTGGAAAAATTAATAAAAAGGTAAATCTTTCACAAGTCTAATCATGAAAAAGAAAACAAAAATGTAATACTCAGAATGTAAACAACTATACACACAAAGAAAAATTATTAAAAGATTATTATATATGATTTTATATCAGTAAATTTTAAATATCAGTGACATAGATAATCTCTTAGAAAAATATGAATTACCAGTATTGCCATAAGAAGAAAAAGAAGACTAAACTATGTCTTTACCCATGGAAGAAAATGAAAAAAGTTCACTAATGATGGCTTCCAAAACTGGGAGCAGGTTCATGTGGTTTTACAAGAAAATTCTAACAAATGTCAAAGAATAGCTCTTTCCCTGAGCTCTAAATTGTCCCAGAGCCCAATAAAGCATAGAAATTGTACCACTTCACTTTATAAGCTTAGAATAATCCTGAGAAATTCCAACAGAAATAGTACAAGAAAGAAAACTATAAACTAAAATCAATTATGATGGCAAAAATCCTAAATACAATACTTCAAATTTAATATAGCAGCATGCTCAAAGACAACTGTATCATGATCAAATAGAGTCCTAAATGACTTCTCTTGTTCATTCGGAGTATATTATATATTCAGAATAATTCTGGAGACTGAAAGAGACATGCAAGTTTAAATAATTTTGTTAAAATATGAATATATGTACTCCATAAATATATACGCCTACTATATACCCAAAAATTTTTTCAAAAACATTGAGAAACCACTAGGAGTGTAGGAGAATACAAAATAATGTATAACTTCCAAACTACTAGAAAAAAAAAGAATATTTTAATCCTGCAAAAGTAAAAAAAACATAGAAGATGGTATATTTTATACATAAAGAATTTCAGGAACAGGTACAAACATCATTATTCACATTAAATATAGATCAATTAAATTGATATTTTAGAAGAAAAATAATTGGTTTTGTTCAAAAGGCAGAGTCTTAGCTATATACTTTTTAAAAGAAACAACCCTAAAACAAAATGGAAATAAAGGGATGGACAAGCATGCACTAAGGTCAGTGGTTCTCTCTTTTTTTTAAATTTTTTGAGACAGGGCCTCACTCTGTTGGCTCAGGCTGGAGTGCAGTGGCATGATCAAGGCTCACTGCAGCCTCAACCTCCCGGACTCAGGCTTCCCCCTTCACCACCCTCCCACCAAGTAGCTGGGATTACAGGCACAAATCACCATGCCTGGACTATGGTATTTTTATTAAAGACAGAGTTTTGTCATGTTGCCTTGGCTCATCCAGGCTGGTCTGGACCTAGGCTGGTCTTGACATGGACTCTGTACTCAAGCAATCTGCCTGCTTGGGTCTCCCAAAATGCTAGGATTGCAGGCGTGAGCCACTGCAGCCAGCTTGCCAGTGGTTCTCCAAGTGTGGTCTCTGTACCAGCAGCATCATTAACACCAGTGAACATGTTAGAAATGTAAATTCTAGGGCCCTACCCCAGATCTAATAAATCATACACTGGGAATGGTGCCGAGCAATCTGTATTTTATCTTGTTTTATTTTTGTATTTTTGCATTATTGAATTATAGTAGTCATTTTTGAAATAATTACACTCCAGCCTAATGGCCTTTTGTTAGTGTTTTCCATCTTTCAAATCCATTACAAAATATGGCAAAACTGATTTAAACAATCATGTTGAAAACTGATGTTGTGATCATCTATTGTGCATCAATTCATTTTGATTATATACTTTCATGACCTTCATGTGTTCTGTTTAGCTTTTTGCGGTCTTCTCTGCCATTTCAAGTGAGAATTTTACTGATACAGTAATATATTTAAATCCCTTTCTTTTATTTTCTTGGCATTTTTTTGCTTCAACATTTCAAACAT